CCTTTTTTATGAGTCAGAATATGGTTTCTACAAACTTTGTGGTTGTTGTTCTGTTTTTCCTTTTATCTCTCCTCTCTTTCCTGTCCGGCTTCTGCACTAGTTTGCAAAGTTAGCACCATCCTCCTCTTTCCACCAGCCTTACTTTTAACTTCTTCCTCTTCTCCTACCTCTCTATAGTTACCATAACCCTTTTTAAATTTTAAACTCTGAGGGTAAAACTAACATACTAACTACATTAGCCACAATATAAAACAAGAAAAAGAAAAATCTACAGTCAGGCATATCATAATCAAGAGTCCAGAAATTCAACACAATAATAGAATCATAAAAGATATTAGGCAAAAGAAATGAATCACCTATAAAGGAAAGCGGATTAGAATCACCTGAACTCTCAGCACAAACCCTCAAGTCAAAGAGAGTGAAATATCTCTGGTTCTAAAAGAAAACAACTTTCAACCCAGATTGCTGTACCCCACAAAACTATCTTTTAAAACTGATGGAGAAACAAGATACTTCCATGACAAAGAACATGTGAGGAAATTTATGCTGAGCAAACCAACGACTCCAAAATGTTTTGCAGAACATGCTAGAAAGAGATAACAGGGACTATAAATCCATGATCCCCAACAAAAAGAATTCACTGGCCAAAGAAACACTTAAACACAGGGATAGAAAAAAAGAGGGGGAGCCAACAACAGGAAAATAACATGACAAGGATGTCAATACAGATCAGTTACAACCATCAATGTGAATGGTCTCAATTCACCCATCAAAAGACACAGACTGGCAAAATGATCAAGAAGCAAGGCCCAACAATGTGCTTTACACAAGAAACACATTTAATTCAAAAAGAAATTCATGGACTGAAAGTCAAAGGATGGAAAATAATACTTCATGTGACAGGAAGCCAGAAAAAAAGCAGGGTTAGCACTTTTATTTGCAGACAAAGTGAATTTCAAGCCAAGACTGATCAAGAAAAAGAAGGTCACTACATCCTTGTAAAGTGAACAATCCAAGAGGAAAAGATAACGATCATAAATATATGTGCATCAAATCCCAGTGCACTCAACATTAAAAAAAAAGTATTAATGGGCATGAAAAATCAAAGAAGCACTAATACAGCTGCATTGGGGGACCTCAATATCCCACAGTCACAAACAGACAAGCCAGCTAGACAAAACATCAACAGTGAAGTATTCAAACTGAACCAAACTTTTGAACAAATGGACTTTGTAGATGTTCTAACCCACAATATCAGAATATACATTCTTCTCAACTGTACACAGGTTGTTCTCCAAAAGAGACTACATACTAGACTCAACTAAGAAAGAGAACTACAGCTCAGTCTCCCTAATGAACACAGACACAAAAATCCTCAGTAAGATACTGGCAAACAGAATGCAGCAAATCATCAAGAAGGTTAACATGACCAAGTGGAATTCATCACAAGGATACAGGAATGGTTCAACATATGCAAATACATCAATGTAATACACCATATTAACAGAGCCAAGGACAAAAAGTATATGATCATCTCAAAGATGCACAAAAACCAGGTGACACAGTCCAGCACCCACTCATGATATATACCCTAAAGAAAATTGGAATAGATTGTCTTTATCTCAATCTGATAAAAGCCATCTGTGACAAATCAACAGCCAACATCATACTAAATGGACAAAAGCTGCAATCTTTCACTCTAAAATCAGTAACAAGACAAGGCTGTCATCCACTGTCTGCACTCTTATTCAACATAGCCCTGAAAACCATAGCCAAAGCAACTGGGCATGAGAAAGAAATAACGACAGAAATGGAAGAAATAAAACTATCAATATTTACAGAAGACCTCGAAAACTCCACTAAAAAACTGCTAGATTTAATAAGCAAATTGGGTAGCGTAGGTGGATACAAAGTCAACACTCAAAAATCAATACCATTCCTACACATGAATAACAAACTCATTAAGAGAGAAATTAGGGAAACAATACTGTTGTGGATTAAGAACTGGTAGTCAACTTAACGCCAGCTGGATTACATCAGCATGGCGCTGAGCATAGGATGTTCCACCTGAGGAAAGTTGCTAGGATAAATAGAGAGGTGGAGAAGGAAAAGCTATTGCATTGAGGCGTTGAGGCATTGCGGGTTCTCCTACGAGTTGCTGTTTGAACGACTGGTTCTCCTGGAGAAGCTCTGGTCCTCACATCGAGTTGTTTCCTGGCTCCAGAGAGGAAGATGTGTGCTGCTTGGTCTCCAGGTTAACTCGTCACGCTGGTTTCCTGGCATGTACTCAACTATGCTTGTCAGAGGAGGAGCTCGGGGCCTCTGTGTCACTGAGGTTGGCTGTAGTGATTTTCAGGAAAGCCCTGGTCTTTGTCGTGAGTGTGACTTCTCGGCACCAGTGTAGAACCATCAACCTCCCAGCACAGCTCATTCATCCTGTTGTATAGACTTTCTAGCTTTCACCACTGACCTTTGGGCCTTAACAGCATGGATCCGTAAAAGAAACTGGCATGAGTCCTTCTTGTGGGCTCTAGACCTCCAGCTGGACTCGTGGGAGGCATTGTCATGAGCTCTGGGCCTTCATCTGGATTCATGTAGGACATTGCTGTGGGATTCAGGCCCTTCGCTAAATATTCTATGTCTTTAGTGTTGTGGATAGATTTCCTGCATTTCTTCGTGTTAACTCTGGGTGACTATCATAAAAAAAAAAATTTATAAACTCCGTGTCCTGATTCTAATTGTTCCGCTCACAACCCCTGACTACAAAAAATACCATTCAATGTAGCATCCAAACAATTGAAATACCTAACAATCAGTCTAAAAAAGGATGTAAAACTATAATATTCTGAAAATATAATACTCTGGAGATTGAAGAGGGTATCAAAACATGGAAAGATGTTCCTTGCTTTTGCCTAGGAAAAACCAATATAGTGAAAATGGCCATATTTCTAAAACCATCGTACAGATTTAATGCAATTCTGATCAAAATTCCAACAGCATATCACACAGAATTACAGAAAAAAATACTAAAATTCATTTGGAACCACGAAAGACCTAGAATAGCAAAGGCATTCTGGGCAACAAAGGCAAAGCAGGAGGCATCACAAACCCTGATTTGAAATTACACTGTAAAGCTACTCTGATTTTAAAAAAAAAAGGAAAAAGAAAAAGAAAAACAGTGTGGTACTGGCAGAAAAACAGACCCAAAGATCAGTGAAACAGACATGCTTAGCCACCTTATCTTTGACAAAGATGCCAAACATATGTACTGAAAGAAAGATAACCTCTTTAGTAAATAGGGCTGGAAAAACTGACCTTGTACGTACCAAAGATTAAAATCAGACCCATATCTTTCACCACGCATTAACTAAATTTGAACTGGATCAAAGATCTAAATATTAAAAATATTACAGTTGCTAGAAGATAGAATAGGTAAAATTTGAAGTTAATGACATAGGCAAACACATTATGAATAAAATTCCGGTTGCACAGAAATTCAAAGAGTCAACAACTGGGATCTCATCTTATTAAAAAGCTTTTGCACAGCAAGAGAAATCACCAGTAAAGTAAAGAAAAAAACCCAGACAGTGGGAAAATGTTTATCAGCTGTTCCTCAAAGAATTAAATATCAAGAATATATAAAGAACCTAAAAAAGTCAGATCTCCCAAATTTAAAGACTCAGTGCAAAAATAGGCATCTGAAACAAATACGCTCTTCTCAAATGAAATACAAACAACAAATAATTATATGAAAAATGTTCAACATCACTGATCACTCAATGCAAATTAAAATAACACTGAGATTGCATTAACACTACAATGTCTCCACTGTTTCCACTGAAGCCACAGAAAGAATGGCTATCATCAAAAAATCAAGCAATAACAAAGCTGGAGGAAGTAGAGGAGAAAAGGAAGACTTCTCCTCTGCTGGTGGGAGTATAGACTGGTGCAACCACTGCAGAGACTCATGTGCAGATTCCTCACAAAACTAGGATTGGAAGTCCCATTTGACAAAGCTATTCATCTTCTAGGTAGCTTCCCAGAAGAATTAAAAACCTCATACCACAGCGACATCTTGTACTCATGTTTATAAAAGCACAATTTTATAATAGCTAAATTTTGGGGAAAACCCAAATGCCCATCAACTGAGGACTGGATAAAAAAGATATGTCATTTTATTGTAAAACAGTAAGAAACTGTTCAAAAGGAAAGAGAAACTTGGTTGGGAGAAAGGAGAAAAGACAAGGAAAAAAACATACATAGAGAGAGAGCTGCTGGAAGATATATATATATATATATATATATATATACATCTAGTGCTAGTATTGTTTGGACAATTAAATGCCTATATCCTGTATTCTGAGTAACTAATTTAAATATAACAATATGCAGTGTATTAACTGTTGTTACCCGCTTCTTGTTTGGAAATTGTTTTTCTTTTCCTTTAAAAAAATTTTTAAAATATAGTGGCAAGAACCAGAAGGCAAGGAAGTTATCATTAGAAGATAAATTTTACTCATCTCATTTTGTACACAACATTGAAAGAGCTAAAAGTATGTGTTGCCTACTTTAACCATGAATGAGGAGCCAGCATCGTGGCAGGCTTGTTTGCTCTTACCCAGAAGAATCAAAAAATATTAAGTACATATGTATAAAGTGAATATTAGTTCTGGTTGCCTTGACCTTTATATACTGCCAGAGAAATTCTCCCAGCCCAACAAGAAGGTAGAAAAATATGCCTCTTTAACCATCTGATCCTTAATATTTCAAGTTTAATTTTCCTTTATTCTCTCATACAACACCTATATATTTAAGCTAATTTTTAAATATTAAGTTAAGAAACATGGAAGCTTTTTAAAATATGTTATGGTGTCATTTTCCCTTAGAATGAAATATTACAGTTTCATATGCTCAGTTGTAAGACAAAATGTACGAATAAACCAACAGGATGACTTAGAAAACATAAATACTGTAACTTTAGGATTAACAAAGATACTTACCTTACTTTCTGCTAACCAGCGATGTGGGTCATAATGTATATCAGGACCAGAGGATAAAACCTACAAAAAAAAAGAGGAAAGATAATTATAAATGGATTTTTCTGTAATATGAATTTACATAAATGGAAATTTTTGTCCAGGTATCCAAAAATTTAGGCCCTGAATCTAACGATTTAAAAGAATCAAGTTTGTACCAAGTATTAAACCACTTCCAAACCATTTGTTCGGTGTCTATTTATATGTTGATTTATTTATTTTTTATTGGCAATAGCCTTGATTAAAACCACTTTACTTTATTTTTCTTTGTTTTGCTCAGTCTTGTTCAACTTCCCTGAAGTTTAAATGTGATTACATGAAATAATTTTTTTCTTATATATTCTTATTTAACTCTGTGAGGGCCATTTTGTCTTGCCAATGACTGTTAAAACAGATAAAATTCATAAATATGATTTCATACAAATATTGGCTTATATTTCAAGATAATGAAAAAAGTTCTGCAATAACTTGTTGTCTTTATTGCCTTTACACCAATTCCTTGCCATTTAGCATTGCCTTTTCACTGGCATAAAATTATTCTCAAAGGTGTGCAATGACTTTATAACTGTATACTAAGTTTTTATCTCAGTCTTTACTTTCTTTTAACTTTTTACTACATATATTATTTTACTGGATGCTTTCTGTTTAAATGAATTCAATCCATCTGCAAAGAGATGTCTATTCCCACTCTCAAAAATTTCCATCAAGATTACATTTAGATAATTTACTTGGAAATATCATAAATATGTATTAAGCATCTATCACATGCTATATAATGTATACATCCAATGCCATATCTATCCAGTCTTTCTTTTGTCCACCCTTCTATCTAAATCCCATACTATTCTTTTTCAGTGAATTTTTTCTAATCACCTTATTATTCAGGATTCTCTTCTTCTCCCAACTCTATTAAGTCACTGAGTAAGTGTTAATATTCATTTGTCACTGATTATACTTTCATTTTCATTCATTAATGACATATCTCTCAACCAAATCTAAATTTACCTCATGCTCACAACTGTACAAAATACTTTGATATAAATAATACAAGTAGTATTCTTATTTTATGTCTTGCTTCACAGATTTATACAAGATTTCATGTTTAAGTAAACAACCTTGACCACTTCCAGTGGTATGGCTTAATTTCTCTACACTGTAACTTATTATAAAGTAAACAATCAACCTTATAAAGTCAATTACAGATCAAATAAAATAATAAACAAGCATTAGCACAGCTTCTGTCACACAGAACACACTATCACTGCATACCAACATAACATCATCAATAAGAACAAAGCTCTATTATGCTAAGAACACTGTAACAAGTATTAGTCTTAGAAAAAGATAAAGAACCAAATACGTATGTGAACACATTACAAAAAAAAAAAAAAAAATACTGATGGCTAACATTAGCTCACTATGTACCAAGAGTAAGATATTTCTCATTATAACGTACTACTTCAGTATATCACTTTATCCTCAAAGGAGCCAACTTGTAATGAAAGACACAGGTGCTGTGAAAGGACAGAGATTACACAGCTTGTCCAAGATCAGATGGTAGAAATCTGGAGAGATATGTTAAAGCCGTATCTGTCTTGATCCAAAACCCATCCTTTTTTATAATCTAAAACAACATGAATATTCAGTTCAAGCATTACAGGAAGAGACAAATTCAAATAAAGATACAATGCTGAGCTAATCCATCTAGTTGAGGTCTTGTGTTATCTAAGATTGCCCTATAAGAATGAAATATCTTTAATTCACACAGTTCTCTAAAGGTTTTATAATGGCAATGATTTAATTCAATGTCTTTAGTTATTCTTTAGAAGCATGTAATGAGTAGCATATATGTTAGTCATTAAAACAAAATTTTTAACTAGAGATAATATCAATATTTTCCAGAATTTTTCTCAATCTGTTATTGAATACATTTCACATCACAGCCCCATATAAAATGAATGAAAAATTTATCAGCAATATTTCAAAACTCAAGAAATGACAAAGAATAATTGGAAGTACTCCTTTTTCAAAATTTTTTAAATGATTCTTTTACACACTCTCCCACAGAACTATAACATAAAGAATCAACTATCTTTAACAAATCCATTAATGGTTTTCTTGTGGTAGCAAGAAATCCTAAATTCATGGATATTCACTTTTATGAAGGGTGTAAGTACAAACAGAGCTAGTAGGAACAAATCTACAGTGAAAATACACCTTCTTCTCTGTTTACTTTCTACCCATGGGTTGAACTGAGTTCAACTTTCTTTAAGTGAAGAAGTACAAAAGCTACCACCATCATTCCATGCCTGAAAACTTATGAATGAACAGGAATCTGTATTACATTAAGAAGGCAATTTGTGCATTATAAAGATATATTTAATCAATATCCTGTCTACATATCATGTTTCTGATTACAACTATCCATAGCAAAGACTAAATACAACAAGATTCAAATGTTTCTATTTTTATACTCCAATATGATTGAAAATTATCTGGACACAAATAGTCAAATACAGGGCAAACACTGCATAAATATATGTGCTTCTTTTACTTAAAATTAAGATTTCCAAGTCCACAGACACTTTACATACATGTAAATAAGGTAAGTCTTAAATGTAAAAAGCAGCATTAGATAGGAAAAAGAATAAGCTAACTTTATAAGTGGCCGATATGAAACTTTAAAAAGTCAGTTTTCATCCTGCAACAGTAGGATGAAACAGTAAATGCTAATATGATGCTCACAGAAATGACATCTGAACATTTTTTAAAAGACATTATATAGAAATACACATAATACACCATAGACGATGGCCGCTCCATGCCTGCCCTCCACCTCAGACCCCAGACCTCCATCTCAGGGGCTGGCCACTCCGCACCTATCCCCACCTGCCAACCCCCTCAACGTAGTACTGTTATAGATCCTCGGCTGCCCCTCCTCCTCCCAGAACCTTGGACTGCAGTGGATTAGCCTTGCTGGGTTGATGTGACACTCAGTAACCCCTCATCTAAACAGAGGACCTCAGCAGGCTTTCATTAGTGTAGAAATTTTACCTCTAAAACAGAAAACTTCACTGAGTACATAGGAGCAGTAGCAAAGTCTTGTCCAGCTGTAGGAACTTGGTGAGCCTGAGTATGGGTGAGTCCCTCCTCTATACAGAGAACATCAGATGGGTTGAGTAGTGTGCAAATAAGGCCTCCTCCAAACCGGAGAAAATTAAAAGGGATTATGAGATACCCAGTGACTCAGTAGGGCCCCAGGTGAGAAAAATTCTATACAGAGGTAGATCTGGTGACCTGGAGCAACCTGAACACATAGTAACAGCAGATACTAATGGTTGCCTTACAGCAATACTCCTAGGCTAGTCAGTCTAGGAAAAATATAGAACTCATGCAACAGGCCCTGCAGGAGGAATTCAGGTGACTGGCCCTCCTCTTAATTGTGGTACCAAGCAACTGGACAAATATCAACCACACTGTAGGAACCTAAGATACACACTACTGAAAGTTGCAATTAGTGGGATTGAAAGACCAAATATTAGCTTGAAACGTGAAAATGACAAAATGAAAAAGCAAAATGTAATCTCAAACATCTAGTCCATCAGGAAAAAGTACAAGAGACACTGAAGTGAGGACTTTAAAAGTCATACATCTGAAATTTCTGAAAAGATACCAAGTGAAATAAAGAAACAAATTCAGAGGCTACAGAGGAAATGAAATTAGAAATAATTTCTCATGTAAAGACAGAAATGATAAACTTAATAAAGGACTTGCTCAGCATAAAAACTAGAGAAGACATAGATTAAAAAGTACAGAAGCATTGGAAACTGACAAAATCTTGAATGAATAAAAGAAAAAACAAGTAGAATTCATTTAACAAATTCAAAGAGATATGCAAGAAATAAATTCTATTGAAAACTGGCAAAACCGTTTAAATGAAGCTGATGATAGAATTTTGGACCTAGAGGACAGGATTGCAGCTAGTGATCATGAAAGAATAGAACTTTTAAAAAAAAACAAGGCAGCAGGAAATGATAATTCAACAGCTTCAAGATGATGCCAAGAGAAACAATATAAGACTAATAAACAACAAAGAAGATGTAGGAGTCAAGGTGAATGACATCAGTAAACTGTTCACAGAAGTAATAGCAGAAAATTTCCCAACATGTGGAAAGAATCTGATATGCAGGTAAGTCAGACATATAGAATGCCCAACAGTCACAATCAACATAAATCTACACCCAGACATATAACAGTTAAGATCCCAGACATGCAGCATAAAAACAGAATACTAAAAGCTTTTAGAGAAAAGACACAACTCACCTATCAAGGAAAGCCCATCAGAATCATGACAGTTTTCAGCACACACCCTCAAGTTAACACAAGTTTGGAGTGAAGTATTTCAAGCCCAGAAAGAAAACAATTTTCAACCCAGATTGACATACTCTGCAAAACTTTCTTTGAAAGTTAATAGAGAAATAAAATACCTCCATGACAAAGAACAACTAAAGGAATTCATGTCCACCAAACCAACACTAGAAAAAGCAGTGAAAGAAATATTAAATAGAGATAAAAATGACTACAATTTCCAGAACAACAACAGAAAGACACCACCAGACAGGGCAAGCAAATAAACAAGGGGGATGTGCAGAAAAACAAAAGGAGGAAAATAACATGAAAAAGTTGAGCCAGTATATATCAGCTGTATCCATCAATAAAATGGCCTCAATTCACCTATTAAAAGAAATAGATTGACAAAATGGATCAAGATATAGGATCCCACAATATGTTGTGTACAAGAAACACATCTCACTCAAAAGGAAACTCATACATTAAAAGTCAAAGGACAAAAAAAAAAAAAAAAAATAGTCCATGTGACAGGAATCCATTAAAAAAGCAGGGGTACCTATTGTTTTTGCAGACAATGTAAACTTCAAAATGATCAAAAGAGATAAACAAGGCCACCATATACTTCTTAAGGGAATAATTAAAAAAAAAGAGCTAACAATCATAAACATATATGC